TATTTTGTTTACTGCCCACTTTGAGAATAAATTCTTTTTAGCGCTTCCATTTGTAGTCGAGAGTCGAGTGCTCAGTCGGTGTCTAAGAGACCTCCTAGTAAATGACGCCTCCCAAGCCTCTACACAACGTCCCGATTTTTTTTCTGGGTCTCTTACCGCCCCCCTTTAAGCCTGCAGCGCCCACAAGGGGACATTATCGCCCACTTTGGGAAAGACTGCTTTATGGCCTCAGTAGAGGCTCTCAAATGAAATAAATGAGATTCAAAATAAATAAGGCCAAGACAAAAAAAATATGTCAAATATCCGTGTCACAGCACTCCTTTGAAGGTTGGAGATTCTAAACTCAAAGTTGTTCTTGAAACAAACAGTCAAGTTAGGTAGGTCTTAACTTCAAGAAAGAGGTCTATGATGAGATGAGGATCAAATTTTAATATAAAAATACATAAGATAAGACGCTATCTATTTTAAATTTCTTATTATAAATATTAATATTATGCTTATTGATTAAATTTCATTTGTATTTTTAGTGTGGTTTGTACTTATTTTGCAACAAAAGCGTCGAAGTATTTTATTTCCAATATATGAGGCAATGTATACCTTTAACGCATAATATAGGGACATAAATGTGTCCCCGACTGAAAAACACTGAAATACATAGCACTTATATTTTCTGTACTACTTTTATATTAAATTAGACTAAAATAAATAGATATAACTAAAGAAAAAATAATTTTAAGGTTTGGATTAGTTATAATGTAAGGGTTAAAATACAGTGTGAGTCACGTTAAAGTGTACATATGAAAATAGATGAAACTAGACCTATTTTTATCGACAAAAAAGAGGTCAAATTTTTTTTGAGATTTTTATTTAATTTTTTATAGAATTTTTTTTCTTGCAATTACTTATTGTAAAGAAAACGTAATAACTTTTAAACTAAGCGGTATATCCTGATAAAATAAAAACAGTAATAATGCTAAATAACAGGCGATACAAAAAAATACATAAAATACAATCTATCCCTATCACAACATTGGCATTTTTTGGAGAAATTTATCAAATAACCAAAAAAATACGAATTTAAAAGCAGATTTTTTTCAAAAAGTATCATTTTTTATTATTTGTTGGCCTTTTTTGTATATTTTATGTATTTTTTTAGTATCGCCTGTTATTTAGCATTATTATTGTTTTTATTTTATCAGGATATACCGCTTAATTTAAAAGTTATTACGTTTTCTTTACAATAAGTAATTGGGAGAATAAAAATTCTATATATTTTTTTTTAATTCTCAAACATTTTTTACCCTTTTTTTTTGTCGATAAAAATAGGTCTAGTTTCATCTATTTTCATATGTACACTTTAACGTGACTCACACTGTATAAGTTCTTGCAACTCACGAAAGCGAGTGAGCTTTACTTGTGTTTGTAATAGTACCTAGCGAGCCACCACACATGTAAAGCTCACTCGTCTTCGTGAATTGCAACACTATACCAAGAAAAGTATCATTTTTTTTCGTGTGATGATAATACAATCTCAGAGACATGAAACGTATAGCATAGTTGCAAAGTGCAACTGAGAATATATTAAGTTTACCACCTAGGGCAGAGCTTCTCAAATTGTGTTACCAGGGTCACTTAAAAATTAGGGATTGATGGTGAAAACGAGCATAGGAACACTAGTTATAAGATAAGTTATATTAATTTATACCAATGGACCAACTATAAAATATTTAACTTTGAATTTGAAAATAAAGTTGAGTGACAATTTCCAAACTTTTTTTTTGCTTTTGAGCCCTGTTTTAAGAAGCTATGCTCGGAAAGGAAACCACATCCTTGTTGGTTCGAGCATTTCTGATAACTTGTTAGTTACTAGGCTGGAACTACAACTGGTATGGTAGGTGGCTTTTGATCAGGGGTGTGTCACAAAAACTGGTATACACAAGGGCGTCACAGTCAAAAAGGTTTGAGAGCCCCTATCATAAATGACAATTGAAAAGTGAAATGACGTTGTTGTTACCTATCACTGAAGTAACTAGTACACCTAAGTAGTCTTTTGAATATTATTTTTTATCATAATTCTGTAAACGAAAATAAATAAATCTCAATTTTTGTACAAGTAATAAACTAGTGAATAGAATAGAGTTCTTAATTACCTTTACGGGCTCGGAAGATGTCACACAATGGAATTTTAAGAAAAATAGTACCATGACGTATATTATTATTACATTGCATGACGTCATATTGTCGTCAGTCTTCCAACCTAATCAAAACAGAATAAAATCTTTAGGCTTACAACAAATCGCACATTACCAAATATTGGCAAAGGTTTTTCAGTATGTGCTACCTACATTTAATTTTAAGTCCCCACCGATCTAAAAAAAGGTGAAAGTAATTTTTTCTTCAAAATGATTTGTGTTTTTGCAAATTAAAATAAGTTTTAGTACATGCGAGTGACTATATTGAATCGTATATTACATTTTTGAAATAACCTAATTGAAATTAACATATTAAATAAATCGCACACTTACACATAATTTCGACTTTCTAGGCGCAGAGCACCGATTTTTAGTTGACCGATAGTTGGGTCGGGCTGGTGATCAGTATGAAGATGTGTGAAAGTGCGCACATTACACCGATTTGGTATCGGCCGTTCTTCATACAAATTAGAATCGGGCCCAACTATCGGCCAACTAAAAGTCGGTGGTTTGCGCCTAAGCTAATCAACTTTCTGCTCACTTGGGATCGGTAGGGCCTTTTTATATCTTACTTTTATTAACAGTGTGACGAGCACCAATGCCAATATTAAGCTATGTGCGAACTATTGTTATGTACCTAATTGAATATCTGCTACTAGCTGAATACTGCACTTATATCTGCTACTACACTTAGCAATAATAGCCCATACAAATTATGATACTATCTACGTTTTAATGACTTATTCCAATTTAAAATAAAATTGTTTGTAATTATTATGAATTTTAACTTTATTTCTTCGTGGTACGTTTAATTAAGTTCCATTTAAAGCCTTGCCATAGAGAGGCCCAATAACAAAATGGAGATACAGTCCCACAGAGCAGTGAAATTATCTGATATTTGGTAGCACTACTAGCAGTGTCATTGTTGGTTTCAGCCCCATGAAGGTCAAAGTTATCAGATTTTTTTTCATTAATTTAATGCAGGTAATCACAAATGATTGTAATTAGGAAATAATTATCGTTGCAGGTGTTAAGTAATTTATATGAATGAGGAACAACATAGGGTCCATGATACTACCTTGTGGAACTCCAAAACTTACATTACACTCATTAGTAGTTAGTATCAAACTGAAACTAATAATGACTATGCTGGTACAGTCGTTTGCATTTATCTAATTATATTCATTGTTGTCGCAAAATCGCATCTATTACAACTATGTACGATCTATGTTTGTTTAGCACGAGAAGGACTGTCTACATTTTGTGATAGAGTATCTCCATTAAAAGCATGGAATATAAATGCAACTTAATTGAAGTACCTACTGCAAATAGAGAACGTTGAAATTCATAATAATTATAAGCCATTTTATTTTAAAGTTGAATATTGTCATCAACATTATACTACTGTAGATAGTATCGTAATTTGTATGGGCTATTCGGATTAAGTTGGAAGACTGACAACATGCCACGAAATGCAATAATAGTATACCTCTCGGTACTATTTTTCTTGAATTTCCACAGTGTCAAATCTTCCCAGCCTTTAAAGGTAGGTAAATAATAACTTTTTTGTATTTACTAGTTACTTACAATAGTCGTAGTTTTTTTTGTATCGTTTTTTTTTATTGTGTTTTTAGAATTATTATGATGATAAAGACTACTTCCAGTAAAGTATCATCTTAGATTAATAAAACCTAGATAGATAGTCAGTGCACGAAAGGTGAGGCAATTTTTAGGGAGCCGGCACGGCTTACCCGTAAACGTCACATGAACTGTCAAAGTGAAAAATTGGTAAACACGTCCGACGAATTTTAATTAATTAAAACGGTTTGTGCTGTGAAAGGGTGTCTAAAATACATCAGAAAAACGAAAGAAAGTGACCAGTGTTACATTTCATAAGTAAGTAGGTATCCTTCCGTTTGGCCAAATTACTTTTCGCCAAATTTCACTTCGCAAACAACTTATCGCCAAAGTTTCATTTCCCAAATGAACTTTTAGCAACTGTACTTTTCGCAACTAATTCATTTGGACAAATTATCATTTGGCCAAATTTTACTTGGCAAATGTTTATATAGCAAATGTTTTATTTTGCCAAATATTATATCCCAAATAATTTGTTTGGTCAAATCGACACTTCACATACTTACCCACAAATCAAACCATAAGGCAGAGGCAGATGATCATGGTTTTCACAAGAATGTTATGTAAAACAAAGAGATTGCAGAAAATAGTATGGTTGCAGAAAGTAGGTATTGCAGAAAATAGTAGGTTAGGTTAGGTTAGAACAGTGACCCTTAACGCGCGAAGGCGAGCGAAGCGTGCCGCGGCAGCGGCCGCCGAGCGCTAGAATCACCTCTATTGTTAATGAATCATTTGGGAATTTCGATAAAAAGAATGAAATATGAAAAATTTATATAGAACAAATTTTATATTAACTACCCACTAAACAAAATAATAACCACTTGTTAATTTGTACTCCATTCTAAGCACCAATCAAATTATTTTGTAAATAGTGTATCGTGAAATATTTTTGCCAAATGAAACATTTGCCAAAACATACTTTGCCAAACAATAATTTGCTAAACAATAATATGCCAAAAACGGCATTTGCGAATTAAAAGTTTGCTATAAGTTGTTTTGCCAAATGAGAATTTGCCAAATGAAAATTTGCAAAACGTTGTTTGCGATGTGATAATTTGGGAAACGTTTTTTGGCCAAACATTAGTAATCCGCTCGATCCACTATCGGCCAACTAAAAATCGGTGGTCTGCGCCTAGGCCTACGCTTAATACAAAGTTTTCTTGGTGTCAGGGACCGTACAAAACAATACCGGTGACCATCCGCAACTGCACTGAGAAGGAGGTGGTGCACCCTCACGCCAGTTTCGGCCAGTTCGTACAATGGCACGCCGAGATCTTTAACTCCTCTGGGAAAACACTTATTCAATTCAATTACACTGTGTTGAAGCCGATGGAAACTGCCAAGGTATGTGCGGAACTACGTGTATCGGCTATGGTGGTGCTTATGGTGGTGTATTTTATTAAACTCAAATGGAAATACAGGGTGTGGCTTTGTAAAACAACGCGCATCTCAGGGGTGGTAGTGCACGTGAAAGTAATTCAAGAAAAATATAAATAACATTTAACTATTACTATATTAGTAAAAAAAACCTTGTTCAAACGTCTTCTAAAACTTTCGAAACGGCGCTTGTTTCCACCCCACCACCCCCGCGTACCCTGCTACACCACGAGCACATGCAGCCGCCTCCCCGAGAGAGCGGGGGGACTGACCGATAGATAGCTCGCTAGCGTAATAATACCATTTTCCTGATTTCATGGATTTTTCCAAAAAAATATTTTTTATATTTTTTTGGCATTAGTGTCGTGTATTACTACCACTCCTGAGATGGGCGTTGTTTTACAAAACCTCACCCTGTATAACTGAGAGATAGCAATTTATTTTTATAGGAAAAAGTACGAACCTTCTTTTGGGAAGACAACCAGTGGAAACTACGATTGGTTATACCAGGATTTAGCTGCCTTAGAACCTTTACTCGATACGTCATCGAGGTTTTGAAATTAAACGTAAATAGGCAATGCACCATTACTGTGGTAAGTTACGTTTACACCATGATCTCGTTTACGAACGATTTAGTAGGACACGGTAAACAGCAGTGGCGGTAGCAAGCAATAGCAATAAAGTGGTAATAGTACCTATCACAGAACTTTTGTTTAACGTTTACCGTTTCGTAATCAAAACCNCACAAGTATCTCCGATTACTTACTGGGAAGCCTCCGCTATTAATATTGTATAAAACTTTTTGTCAATAAAGAATTTTAATTTAATTTTTAATTTAATTTTTTTTAACAAAGTACTTAATCAAAATAAAAAGAATCGTCGCGAAGAATGTGTGTCATGCACACATCGCATTCAGAGCTACTATTCGTTCGCATACCAGGTTGCAAGTAATGTACATACTAATCTTTATCAATGTAATAATCTTTAGTAGGTACTACGCAATCAATGTAAATTGTTTACTGACGTCACTGCTGTCATTATTGCTGTCACGAGCAATGTTTTCTGTTTTTGGGCATATTGCTGCGATAATCTGCAATGAATTCTGTAAGAGAGTCAGTGTCTTCAGCACTAAATAGGGCGACCCAAAATACCATGCTTGGGCTCGAAAACTCAATTTTGACCACCTTGTGGGTTGGAACGTTGTAGCATAACTACGTCCATATTTACAGGGTTCCCGTACTATTAAACGATTCGACTACAACGCTCTGCACCAAGCTTGGGAACCCGAGACGGAATACGGCCGGTGGACGTGGACGTATGAAATCACTTCTAGAGGAAGAACTTTGTTTTGCGTCGCCGTGGAATCTGTAGTTTACCAAGAAGAAAAACAAAGGAAACTCACACAAACTAAAAATTAAAATTTGTTACGCAATGTGTAACAAGATTTTTAATAAAATACCTGCTTGCATAAAAGAGCTTACTTACACCAGTTTTAAGTCGAGATTTCGAAAATGGCTTATAAAAAATATCTTCTATACAATTTACGAATTCCTGAATAATCAATCTACAAAATTAAATGTAATGTAATTTAAATATTATGACATTTTATTAATCCTACTAATATTATAAATGCGAAAGTTTGGATGTCTGGATGTCTGGATGTTTGTTACTCTTTTCCAACTGCTTTAGTCATCTTTCCCCTAGTGACGATTTTTCCTGATTTTAGTTGGTAACTCAACTTTTTATTGGCGGTACGACTGTACCAGCATAGTCATTGTTAGTTCCAGTATGCAGTTTGATAACTTTATTAAATAATTATTACTAATATAATAAATAAATTATAGAGGAGGGTAACGCAAAATTTGGAGTTCCACAAGGTAGTGTCATGGGCCCTATATTATTTTTCATTCGTATAATTAACTTAACAACTGTAACGATAACTACGTAGTAATTACAACATTATCTCATTGATGATTGCGAGCATTAAATAAATTTTAAAAATCTGATTAGTTTGGCCTTCATGGGGCTGAAACTAACAATGACACTGCTAGTACAGTCGTCTGAATATCAGACAATTTCATTGTTGTTGCAAAAAAGCTTTTATTGCCAATATCTGAGATCCTACAATGATTAGCTTGAATAGTTAATGTTCGTACGAGAAGGACTGTATCCACGGTTTGTGATTGAGCAAGTCAATTATTATAAGCATGGGATATAAAGGGAACTTAATTAAACTAAAATAGACAACATTGAAATTCATAATAATCATAGACAATTTTATTTTAAAGTTGAATAAGTCATCAACACTGGATAGTATCGTAATTTGTATGGGTCAAGTTGGAAGACTGACAACATGTCACGCCATCCGATAATATAGGTACTTCTCAGTACTATTTTTCATAAAATTTCACAGTGTCAAATCTTTCGAGCCTATAAAGGTAAAATGAACTATATTGTATTTACTAGTTACAATAAATTACCTACCTACTCGTTTTAATTTCTTATTTTTGTATCTTGAATATGATAGAATAAATAAAATAGAAAACTTCCAATACTTCCATTACATTTTTTTTCTATCAATTAAAGCTGATTAACAATGAGTTTCAAAGGTTGCACAGTCTACTTTAAGATAGTTTAAACAGTTNCGTACTTATGGTGTATTTTATAAAACACATTTTCTTTCAAATGGAAATAATACAGAACTAAACAAAATATCAATTTATTTTTGTAGGGAAAGGTACGTTCCTTCTTTTGGGAAGACAATCAGTGGAGACTACGTTTGCTTATACCAGGCTTCAGCTGCTTTAGGTCTATTTCTCGATACATCTTTGAGGCCTTCAAATTAAATATAAATAGCCAATGCAGTGTTACTAAGGTAAGATGCGTAAACCATGATCTCGATTACGAACAGCGGCAGGGGCAATAAATTAGTGGTAGTGGCAGTTCTTTTTATTTTTGTCATCATCATTTCAGCCATAGGACGTCCAATGCTGAACATAGGCCTCCCCCAATGATTTCCACAATGGCCGGTTGGTGAGCCTTTAATACTTTATGAACCTTTGCGAGATCGTCGGTCCACCTTGTAGGTGGAAGTCCTACGCTGTGCTTTCCGGTACGTGGCCTCCACTCTAGATCCTTGCTGCCCCATCGGCCGTCAGTTCTGCGTACTATACTTATTTATTTTATTATTTATTTTGCGCGTTAATAAATGCCTAATAACTGGATTATTTTATAGGGTTCCCGTACTATTGACGGGTTTGACTACAACGCATTATACCAATACTGGGAATCCGAGACGGAATACGGTCGGTGGCTGTGGATGTTTGAAATCATTTCTAGAGGAAGAACTTTGTTTTGCGTCGCCGTGGAATCTGTAGTTTTTCCAAGAAGAAAATCAAAGGGAACTCACACAAACTAAAATTAAAATTTGTTACGCAATGTGTAACAAGATTTTTAATAAAATACCTGCTTGCATGAAAGAGCTTCCTTACACTAGTTTTAAGTCGACATTTCAAAAATGGCTTTTATAAAATGTCTTCTATACAATTTACGAATTCCTGAATAATCAATCTATACAATGTAATGTAATTTAAACAGTATGATATTTTATTAATCCTACTAATATTATAAATGCGAAAGTTTGAATGTCTGCCAACTGCTTTAGTCCTCTTTCCCCTAGTGACGATTTTTCCTGATTTTAGTTGGTAACTCAACTTTTTATTGGCGGTACTACTGTACCAGCATAGTCATTGTTAGTTCTGTGCAGTTTGATAACTTTACTAAATATTACTAACATAATAAATAAATTATAGAGGAGTGTAACGTACAATTTGGAGTTCCACAAAGTAGTGTCATGGGCCATATGTTATTCTTCATTCATATATTTACAACTGTAACGATAACTACGTCGTAATTACAACATTATCTCATTGATGATTGCGAGCATTAAATAAATGTCAAAAATTGTTATTAGTTTGACCTTCATGGGGCTGAAACTAACAATGACACTGCTAGTACAGTCGTCTGAATATCAGACAATTTCATTGTTGTCGCAAAAAAGCCTTTATTGCTACTATCTGAGATCCTACAATGATTAGCTTGAATAGTTAATGTTCGTACGAGAAGGACTGTATCTACGTTTTGTGATTGAGCAAGTCAATTATTATAAGCATGGGATATAAAGGGAACTTAATTAAACTAAAATAGACAACATTAAAATTCATAATAATCATAGACAATTTTATTTTAAAGTTGAATAAGTCATCAACACTGGATAGTATCGTAATTTGTATGGGCCAAGTTGGAAGACTGACAACATGTCACGCCATCCGATAATATACTTCTCAGTACTATTTTTCATAAAATTTCACAGTGTCAAATCTTTCGAGCCTATAAAGGTAAATATGAACTATATTGTATTTACTAGTTACAATAAAGTACCTACCTACTCGTATTTATTTCTTATTTTTGTATCTTGAATATGATAGAATAAAGACTACTTCCAATACTTCCAATTATCACAAAAAACTCTAAAATTATTTGGCAAATCTAATCAATTAAAGCTGATTAACAATGAGTTTCAAAGGTTGCACAGTCTACTTTAAGATAGTTTAAACAGTTTGAGATAAAAAAGTTAGTGGTGGTCCAGAAAAGCCATGTCAAACAAAATTTTCTTGGTGTTAGGGTCCGTACAGAACTACACCAGTGATTATCCGCAACTGCACTGAGAAGGAGGTGGTCCACCCTCACGCCAGTTTCGGCCAGTTCATACAATGGCACGCCAAGATCTATAACTCTTCTGGGAAAACATTCGTTCGATTCAATTATACTGTATTGAAACCGATGGAAACTGTCAAGGTATGTTTTTTTAATAAATTCAAATGGAAATGTTACTGAAAGATTTTTTTCAAAATGAAATTGAAATTAATAATCTATTTTTAAAGGGAAAAGTACGATCCTCCTTTTGGGAAGACAACCAGTGGAAACTACGATTGCTTATACCAGGATTTAGCTGCCTTAGAGCTATTACTCGAAACATCGCCCAGGCCCTGAAGTTTAAAATAAATAGTAAATGCACTATTACTGAGGTAAGACATCATGATCACGGTAACGAACGATTTAAGGTTGGATCAGACTTATCAATGCTCAAAGGGATCAATACCGTATTGCTTTTCGCGCGCTGTCAACTGCGAGGCGAGGCGTTCACCTTACGGTGCAGATAAGTGTGCGTTGCTGTATAAAGTTTTATACAAATAATACTGACCGCCTCGAGTGGATACGGTTACGATCCCTTTCCGGGTTGATTAATGTGATACGTCCTTTAGTAGGACACGGCTAGGAGCAGCGGTAGCGGCAAGCAATAGGTGGTAGAAGCAAGCGGCAGCTGCAAGCAATAGAAATTAGTACTACTTGATACTACTCAAAGGGCAGAAAGAAACAAAGTTCACAAAGCTCTTGCTTAAAACACTTCACGGTTTCATGAAAATCGACAGATGTTGCAAATTCCCGCAGTTTTTGGAAACACAATAAACCGCTGATTAATATTTCATTTTACTATACACCGTAAGATTAAACGTCAATGTAAATTGGATAATATTTACAGGGTTCAAGCACTGTTGACCGATTTGACTACGACGCTTTGCACCAAGCTTGGGAACCCGAGACGGAATACGGTCGGTGGACGTGGCAGTATGAATTAACTTCGATCTTTGGTTTGTGTCAACATAGAATCTGTTGATGTTCCAATAAGAAGGAAGGGAAAAAGGAACAATCACCAACTAAAAATCAAGAGAAAGGTCATACATAGCCGATTAACGAATAAAGTACCAGGGCAACATAACCATAAAGGAGCTATTTGTCATATTTGTCATATTTATGATACATGTTTATTTCTCGGGTCAACCAAGAAGAATTTGATATAGCTCCTTTATNCGATTTAAGATTGGAGCAGACTTATCAATTCTGAAAGGGATCAATACTGTATTGCCTTTCGCGCGCTGTCAACTGCGAGGCGAGGCGTTCACCTTACGGTGCGGATAAGTGTGCGTTGCAGTATGAAGTTTTATACAAATAATACTGACCGCCTCGAGTGGATACGGTTACGATCCCTTTCCGGGTTGATTAATGTGATACGTCCTTTAGTAGGACACGGCTAGGAGCAGCGGTAGCGGCAAGCAATAGGTGGTAGAAGCAAGCGGCAGCTGCAAGCAATAGAAATTAGTTCTACTTGATACTACTCAAAGGGCAGAAAGAAACAAGGTTCACAAAGCTCTTGCTTAAAAGCGGCAAGCAATAGGTGGTAGAAGCAAGCGGCAGCTGCAAGCAATAGAAATTAGTTCTACTTGATACTACTCAAAGGGCAGAAAGAAACAAGGTTCACAAAGCTCTTGCTTAAAACACTTCAGTTTTTGGAAACACAATAAACTGCTGATTAATATTTCATTTTACTATACAACGTAAGATTAAACGTCAATGTAAATTGGATAATATTTACAGGGTTCAAACACTGTTGACCGATTTGACTACGACGCTTTGCACCAAGCTTGGGAACCCGAGACGGAATACGGTCGGTGGACGTGGCAGTATGAATTAACTTCGAAAGGAAAATCTTTGGTTTGCGTTACCATAGAATCTGTTGATGTTCCAATAAGAAGGGAAAAAGGAACAATCATCAACTAAAAATCAAGAGAAAGGTCATACATAGCCGACTTATCAACTCGGAAAAGAATCAACACCGTATCGCCTTTCGTGCGCTGTCAACCGCGAGGCGAGGTGTTTATGTTACTGTGCGGATAAGTGTGCGTTGTATGGAGTTTCATACAAAGAATAATGATCGCCTCAAGTTGATACGGTTATGAACGATCACTTTCCGGATTGATAATTTTGTGCTACGTCCTGAAATCTTCATTAGGAAAAAGGGGCATTAAAGCCAATACATAATACTAAGGTCATTACATTACACGGTAGGTAATAAAATTTGAAATCACTTTTATAACTTTATTGAATAATTTAATCCAACACCCTAAGGATAAGATCTAGATCCCGACGGTAGGGTATTATTATGTATGATGCAGTTGTTTGAAAAATTGAAGTTTAATTTAATTTCCCACTTTAATTGGGAGAATATAACTAATAATAGACATTTATATCTAAATATAATAAAAGGAAAAACTGACTGACTGACCTATCAACGCACAGCCTAAACGGCTAAACGTAGGCACTTGAAATTTGGAATGGACTTAGCTTAGGTACCGTAGAGGTGCACTAAGAAAGGAATTCTCGAAATTCCTACAGGAACGGGAATTACCGGGAAAATCCTTTTGTATGAAAAATCTAAACCGTTTAAGTTAGACGCTTGAAATTTGGCATGCAGGTACCTTAGTAAAAGCTTAGTTACAATAGGATATTGCAAAATTCCCACGGGAACGGAATTTGGCGGGAAAAACATTTGTATAAAAAATCTATACCACCTAAGATAGATGAAGGGGGTAAAACGGGATCCACGCGTACGAAGTCGTGGGCGGCCGCTACTTAATAATAAAGCTTGACATATTGAGAATTTTTAAAAATAAAACTGGTTAAAAGTGTGTCGTCGTTTACCTACTGTGATAATGCTAATGCCTTTGATAATGTTCACTAAAACATTTAAATAGGTAAGAAAACTAAAAGCTTGTAGGTATAGCATTAGCAACAACGTTCCCTTTGTTAGTCTAAATAAAGTCCTATTTTATTATGGTTGATTACATAAAAAACCACTTACAAAATATGAGTGTAACGTAAATTCTGGAGTTCCACAAGGTTGTGTCATGGGCCCTGTGATTTATAATTCATATTATTTTGCATTTGCAACGATAACCTAATTAGATTTTAGTTTTGTTTCATTTTCTTGATGTTGTTTTGTGACGCTGAATATTAAACATTTAATTTTCACATTCAATCACGACATTATCTCATTGATGTTTCTTTGAAGATAATGACAAAAATTCATATTAGTTTTACTGGTTTTACTCTCAACAGGCGTACTGAAACTAATAATGGCTGAATAGTAGGCACTTATTTAAAAATANTAAAAATGAAAAAAGACTATGAGATACTTAGGTATGTACTACAAGAAGGACATGAGATCTGGCTAAAGAAAATTCAAAATAACCTACAGTTAACTAAAAATTTAACTGCTTTTTTAATTTAACAATGCTGGTACAGTAAAGACTGTTTAATTTTAATTTCATTATAATCCAACTTAATTTACCTATTCCGGAAGTAGAGGATGATGCAGTTCAGTCACGAATCAATTATGTTTGAAAACTCATCAAGCAAAATTACAATTTTACTAATTGTATTTTAATTTGTTTGGCCTCTTTGGTCTAAGTTACTACAGAAATAAATTGATTTATATTAGTCAATAACTAATGCACTGAGGACCTATTCCAATATTTAGTTCCTGAATCTGATGAAGTTTAAAAGCATGTTACGTTGTCCAATCAAATACTTTTCAATACTATTATTCTTGCAATTTTATTGTGTATCCGAGGCTTTAAAAGTAAGTGTTTTTATCATGTCCAAGTATACTATGTGTTTTAGCAATTTTGTAGCTGCAAAATGATATAAATCTACTTGATCAAACTTATCTACAACACAATGTATAGAATAAGCTATAGGAAGATTGTCCCCAATTTACGGGACACCCTGTATATAAGAGATTGTTATAAAATCATTAATATTTTTAAGAAAGCTATTTATTAAAGTATCTTATATTTTTTTCGGTATTTAGGGTCCGTACAGATGTATGTAGTTTTGATATCGTTATGTGCATGTACACGCACAAACACAAAGTAAAGCTCACTCGCCTTAGTAAGTTGCAAGAACTTCTACAGAAGGCTAGGGTGGCCCAGAAGAAAATTCACTTTTGAAAATTCAAAGAAACGAAGACTGTACATTTTTATAGAATTTTAACTATTGCAATTTAAAGGAAATTTCATGCAATTTATTTTAAAATTAACTTTATTAATTATAAACATCGTACATGACGTTCCCTTGACGTTTACATCATTCGGTCAAACTTTCATTAGAGTTGCCTCCAAATAGATTCAGGATGGATGAATGCTGCAGAGTTTTTGGATTATTACAAATAAAAAACAAAAGTAAGATTCGACAAAAAATTACAGTTTTCGTTTCCTTGAGTTTTCAAAAGTGAATTTTCTTCTGGGCCACCCTGTATTTTAAGCATTCTTTGGTCTTAGGGTCCGTTCAATGACCATCCAGTGACCATCCGCAACTGCACTGACAAGGAGGTGGTGCACCCTCACGCCAGTTTCGGCCAGTTCGTACAATGGTACGCCGAAATCTATAACTCTTCTGGGAAAACACTTGTTCGAACCAATTTTACATTGTTAAAAACGATGGAAACTGTCAAGGTAAAAATTATAAAATATAAGATAGGTTAAGATAGATAATTTATAAAATACAAATTATAAAATTCTGCAGAATTTCGTTGACGAAGAATATTTTTTGAGGTAATTCAGCGCACCTATTTTGAGGCGCACCAAATGTAGCGCTCATTCTTGAAGCGCACTATCGGCCACAGTGTTATATTTCCGTTTTTGCTCTCGCTCTCATCAAAATAAATGGTGATTCTTTGCGATAGAACGAGACGACAGGACCGGCAATAGTTTGGGTAGTTAACATGTTTTTTTTTGTTTTGTTTCTATGCACCTCTAACATGGGAATCAGAGCCTTTTTTAATAAAAAAAATTCAATTGTTTTCTATAGGTTTGAGGTTTAAGGTTTTAGTAGTGTTTGTTATTTCTCCAAATTGTTTTTCTTAGTGTTTGTTGGTTACTATGGTTCTCTTCTTTTTATGTTGAATGCTTTTAGTTTAATTTCTTGAATTTGTTTCTGTGATTTCTTAAAAAAAAAATAACTTTACATTTTTGATTCTTTGTTTGTTTTCAGGACTTTTATCGTTATACTTTCTCTTCTTTGTTTGTGATTACCTTTATTTTATTTATCTAATTTGGTGCATCTATTTTTCTTTTGTTTTGTTTCTTTTCATTTTCTAAAATTTAATTTTCTATTTGGGTGGACACTCATTGTTACACATTCTTGTTATGTTTATCTGCGGTATTCTCATAATAGTTACTGAGATCACATTAATTTGGTCTTCTTGCTTGTCCCTAGCTAGCATTTTGCCGATAGTATCTATGATAAGTTGCCATGGTACTTTTTATTTATCTTAGGGCTAGTTCCCACGGCATTCCAGTTTTGCAGATCTGTTACGCAGCGTCCCGCTAAACTGGACTATCGTGTGAACACACATAACTTACGTATATTTGAAATTCTAATTACAAATTCAAACGCGGATCGGTTTTCGCGGGACACTGACACTGCAAACGTGATGTTTGTATGAACATGAATATTAATAGGTAACAGATAGGTATACTATTAAACGAGATTTTTCAAAAACGTTTTGTCTCCGTGGGAACAAGACCATAAGTAAACATAGTAAACTTAAACATTTGAGGAATAGTTCTGTACCCCCAGTGAAAAGGGATCTAACTCGACTTAGATCAAAATTGACTTAATAACATAATGTGAATCTCTGAAAAATTAGCTATTTTTGTATCTAATCGGTATGTTTCTACGACGTATAGAAAAGAAAATAATTTTGTGCCAAATGATACAAGTAAGGCTTTGTGAACCAATTTTGAGTTTTCTTTCGTGTATATTGATACATGTATACTTTTNTGAGGAATAGTTTAGGTGCGTCTTAAAATGGGTGCGCTTCGAGGAATAGTTTAAGTGCGCCTGAAAATGGGTGCGTTGCGAGAAATTCTCATTTTTACAGGCAAGAGTACGATCCTTCTTTTGGGAAGATAACCAGTGGAGACTACGATTGTATATACCAGGATTCGGCTGTTACAGAGCTATTGGTCGATACATCATCCAGGCTTTTAGCGTTAATGTGGATAGCCGATGTACTGTTACTAAGGTAAGTTACATCATAAATCTAGAAATCATAAAACTAGGTATTCCGCCAGATGTTGTCTAACTAGATCAAATTTCAATATGCATAAATATGAAAATCACTGAAAATCTTAATAATATGTGTTTGCATAATGGCGGAGTAAAAGGTCATTTTTAAAAAGGCAGAGTAAAAAAGGTCGTTTTGATTTTTGGATTTTGTATAAGAAAGTCAAAATAAAATTAAAATGCTCATGAACTAAGCAAATAAATTACTAGTCTATAGGTTTAACGTCTACTTTACAGGGTTCATATACTATTGACCGATTCGACTACAACGCTCTGCACCAAGTTTGGGAGCCCGAGACGGAATACGGCCGGTGGACGTGGATATTTGAAATCACTTCTAGAGGAAGAACGCTGTTCTGCCTCGCCGTGGAATCCGTATCTGTTCCAAGAAAATTTAAGCAGAAACAATCACCAACTAAAATCAGGAGAAATCTTCTCTAGGGGAAAGAAGAATATGTTATACCTACTTAGTTATTTACTTTTATTATTAAAATCTAACTTTCAGGTATTATTTTATTACTAGCGGCCGCCCGCGACTTCGTACGCGTGAATCCCGTTTTATCTCCCCGTTTGATCCCGCTTCATCTATCTTACATGGTTTAGATTTTTTCATACAAATATTTTTTCCCGCTAACTCCCGTTCCCGTGGGAATTTTGCAATATCCTGTTGTAACTAAGCTTTAAGTTTACTAAGGTACCTACATGCCAAATTTCAAGCGTCTTTCTTACGCGGTTTATATTTTTTCATACAAATGTTTTTTCCCGCTAACTCCCGTTCCCGTAGGAATTTTGCAATATCCTGTTGTAACTAAGTTTTAAGTTTACTAAGGTACCTGCATGCCAAATTTCAAGCGTCTAACTTAAAAGCGGTTTAGATTTTTCATTCAAAAGGATTTTCCCGCTAATTCGCGTTCTCGTGGGAATTCTTAAGTGTATTATAACCTGCCCAGGAGTCCGTCGAGTAGTTTTAGCTTCTATAAGGAACAAACAGACAGACAGACAGACAGACAAAAATTTTACTGATTGCATTTTTGGTATCAGTATTGATCACTAATCACCCCCTGATAGTTATTTTGAAAATATATTTCATGTACAGAATTGACCTCTCTACAGATTTATTATAAGTATAGATTTACCCTCTAACTCCCGTTCTGGTGGGAACTTTGCAATATCCTGTTGTAACTAAGCTTTGAGTTTATTAAGGTACCTGCATGCCAAATTTCAAGCGTCTAAATTAAGCGGTTTAGATTTTTCATACAAAAGGATTTTCCCGCTAATTCCCGTTCCCGTGGGAATTCCTAAGTATACTATAAGCTACCCAGTAGTATGAAGAATTGTACCAAGTTTCGTTAAAATCCGTCGAGTAGTTTTTGTTTCTATAAGGAACATACAGACAGACAGATAGACAGAGACAGACAAAAATTTTACTGATTGCATTTTTGGCATTAGTATCGATCACTGATCACCCCTTGATAGTTACATTGAAAATATATTTCATGTACATAATTGACCTCTCTACAGATTTATTATAAGTATAGTCATAGTCATAGTCATAGTCATAGTCATAGTCATAGTCATAGTCATAGTCATAGTCATAGTCATAGTCATAGTCATAGTCATNTATAAGTAAAGTCATAGTCATAGTCATAGTCATGTATGTTTATTGCATCATGTTGGTACATTTGGATCTTAAATATTAACACAGAGTCCCGAAACATGGCCCTGTAATTACGATAAGCTCATTAGTTCATAATTGACTGTAGTACTGGTACCTACTAACATTTTTTGTGATTGAGCCTCTCCATTATAAATGGATTATAAAAATGCAACTTAATTAAAATTACCCTCAACAAAAAGAGAACGTTGAATTTCATGAAATTATAAACAATTTTAAAGTTGAATAAGTCATCAACATTACAGTCATTGAATGTATACTTTGGCTTATACTAGTAGTTTGGCCCTATATAGATATTCAATTAATTATAGTAGACTGAAAACATGCCATGCAACCAAATAATATACCTTTCAGTATTATTTATCTCAAAATTTTATTGTGTTACATCTTCCGAGCCGAAAAAAGTAATAAGAAAAATATTCCATCTATGTATATGTTACGGTTAATGTGTTGTTTATGTAGAAAAAAGCAGGCTATTGACCAAATTCACACCATGTTAAGTGAGATGCAGTCCAGCTCGATTAATTACAATAATAATTACTTGCCCAGTAAATGCCTTTTTATTCGTAATTTCGCCTGGAAGAAGCCCGGATTATACCTAGTGTTCGGTGGGCTGAGTGTGAGTTTAGTGAGGGCGTTAAAAAAATATAATATGAAAATTTTACTTCTTGAACGTTTCCGCTAGGGGCGCTGTACAATCCGTCATAGATTTAATGTCATTTTTAATGCGTTCACTAGTGACGACGTTTGATGTAAACTCACACTAAGCCCACAGAAGCTGATCAAAGTAGCAACATATCAAAGTTATTTCTCTTATTTAGGGTCCGTTCAAATGTATAGGTACCAGTGACCATCCGCAACTGCACTGAGAAGGAAGTGGTCCGTCCTCACGCCAGTTTCGGCCAGTTCATACAATGGCACACCGAGATTTATAACTTCTCTGGGAAAACACTTATCTTGTTCGAGCCAACTATACTGTGTTGAAAACGATGAAAACTATCAAGGTATGATCGGATCTACGGGTATCGGCCATTGTCGTACTTATGGTGTATTTTATAAAACACCATTTTCATTAAAATGGAAATAATACTGAGAGAACTTTCGCTATGATGAACATTTTGGAGCTTTGGTTCCGCTCTATTGCCTCTTTAATATTATTAGTAATAAAATTGCGAATACATATCTCAAGGACTTCCTTACTAAGGACCTATTTTGATACTTAAACGTTTTGAAAACTTAAAATAATTTATGAAAAATTTCAATATCGGAATACGATATTGGCTTCAGTTCCGGAATTGAAATATCGGAAAACATCTATCCGGAATTCCGGAATTCCGGTATTCAAGCCCTATAATAAATCAAAATCAGAACTTCAATATTCAACTGCAATGTCTTTCAAATTCAAATTGTCTGCTAAGTAACCGTTTCACATTCGGCACTTCTTTACAAACTGCCAAAAATTCAAAAGATAAGATTTTTTTTAAATCTAACTTTATTTTCTCTTGCGTAGAAAATACAGCCGTCGGCTGTCGCATTTTCATAACAGATGATAGAGCTTCACACACGCAACACTTAAAAAAATAAATACTGGTTTTTGTGACATTTGGTCATTATTAGTATTTGGAAATACCTACTATGTAACTTCTTTTAAATAAATAAATACTATTTATTTTTTATTATAATCTTAGTTTCAGGTATTTTTAGTACTTATTCTCCTTAGTTCATTATTGACTGTACGTACTGTTGGCTGTGGTATATTGGTACGTACGTTTTGTGATTAAGCCTCTCCATTATAAATGGATTATAAATGCAACTTAATTAAAATTACCCTCAACAAAAAGAGAACGTTGAATTTCATGAAAATTATAAACAATTTTAAAGTTGAAAAAGTCATCAACATTTCAATCATTGATTGTACCTATAATTTGTAGAGGCTATTCGGGCTAAGTACCTATAGTGTTTGTGCTAGTAGTCTGGACCTAAACAGATATTTCATTAACTATTATTATAGTAGACTGAAAACATGCCATGCAACCAAATAATATACCTTTCAGTGTTATTAATCTTAAAATTTTATTGTGTNAATTAATTACAATTACTTATTTTAAGCCCACAAACCAATTTTTATCAACTTATCCAATAAAAAATATCAACTTTCAACAAACTTATAATAAACCGGCCACGGCGAGCGACGCTGGCCGCAAAAATATCAAGTGACCAATTTATATCTGAGCAAATATCGGGTGACAGACAGCATCGTTCCCCTCCCTATTTCGCCAGACCAGAGCAATATTGATATTGTTTTTGTGTAGTCGCTAATTACGTTATTTTCGGGAACGCTGATTGCTTGATTCCCTTCATTAATTTTACCCCGAAATTGGGGAAATTACTCAGTCTTATGGAATATTATAGCAATCAAGAACAGTGGAGGCGGCAACTAAATTTTCACTGAGCTGTTAAGTATACGAGCTAATAAATCCGTTATTTCGTCGTAATAATTCTATAAAATGTATTATGTATACCTCAGTACTAGCTTTAAATTTGAACTACTTTAAAGTTCACTTTTTCATAGGTTTCAGTTTTCTTACGGAACCCTAAATTATTTACTCTTCTTAACATCAGCGGTCTCGTCAAAATTGATAATAAATTGATCAATAATTCACACTTACTTATATTAGTTACTAAGTTAGGTAGACATGCAGACACGTTGAAGTTTTCTAAAACCTTTCCCAAGGAAGGGACTTGAACGCATTTTTTTATTTAAAAGGTAGGTATATTATGCTAAAAACCATAGCTTTAATATTATTATGGTTTATTAGATTTATTTATTAGGCAAAGGCCTCCCTGGTTAAAAAAAGCCCAGGCAAGTAAACCAGTGTTGAAAAAGGCTACTTAAAATATCGCTTATAGTCGTTAAAATTTCAATTAGCTAAATTCTTTCTTGTTTCTTATGGGCAATATTGTCAAATATATAACCCAGTAAAATATCTTTAGTGTTACACTTTTCTTTACGGTCATTTTATCTCTCCATTGGACTCAAGATGTCTTTTAAAACCTACTTTATGTACCTAGGCCGAGCCAGCTGGTAAATAAATAATCTAGCCAATTTTCCAGCCTGCCTTCTGGTTGGCATTGTTGTTTATAGGGATGTTAAATGTCGATGGTTAGATTTGTCGATAAACGACCTCTTTCATCACTCTTTAATCTTTTTCACCAGCTACATATTCAGTTGTTTAAAAAGAGAGGTGTGCGCAGTGCCTGCCAGAAAAACGGAAACTACGGTAAATCACTCACTAGAAGCACTATTTAGCGTTGAACGAGTTGATTCTTCAACTCTAAGATTGGAATGAAATGAAGTTCAAACTAATACTTAGGTCGAAGAATAACTTACGCCCGTATTCACAAACAATGCTTGCTTAAGTGAAGCAGCAAATCGAACGCACAGCGTTGAATAGAGCTCTGTGACTGATTCGTGTGTCTCCCTGTGCGTCCACGCGTACTGTGAGACCTCATAGTAATGTTTGTCAATACGGCTGTTAGGCTCAAGCTCAGATCATAGAAAGAGAATAGATATGTGGCCGTACTGTGTATTTTCATACGACAGTGGATATCGGAAGNCGTATTGCTTTTCGCGCGCTGTCAACTGCGAGGCGAGGCGTTCACCTTACGGTGCGGGTAAGTGTGCGTTGCTGTATAAAGTTTTATACAAATAATACTGACTGCCTCGAGTGGATACGGTTACGATCCCTTTCCGGGTTGATGAATGTGATACGTCCTTTAGTAGGACACGGC